AAATTATATATATATATATATATATATATATATATATATATATATATATATATATATATATATATATATATATATATATCAGTAAAATAGTTGATGAGTAAAATTTGTTATAGAGATCGACTGATATAAAACGTTAGTTTAATTTTCTTAATTTATCATTCAAATCTAAGATAAATAGATACATGAAGATTTGTTATTTTATAACGTCAAAAATCAATTGAAACACCACAGCTACAAATATGATCCGACATTAACACATCGGGAATTTAAGTAGGCTACAAATTGAAAGTAATAACTTCAAATATAAAGTAAATTATTTTTTAAAAGAGTGTTGTGAAAAGATCAAGCGCTATCTTTTATTACATTTTTAAAAGTCGATTTATTTTTCAAAATATATTCCACTCGTTTTTAAAAAAATCTTTCCTTTTTCGAAGATTTTCAGGAACGGTATATGTCAGTTTTTACAAAAAGCATAGACGGGAGTAGTAGTCACAGTCGTTTCACAAAAAAAATTCAGTTATCTTGTAGTTCATTGTTCTTTGCGATGGGGCAAACGGTTTTTTAATTTTTTAAAATAATGAGTAGTGGTGAAAAACTATTGATATATAACATAACGTATTTAGGGGAGTAGTTTGACAAAATACTATTTTTGTGCTTCATAATACGGTCACTCAATTGTAAAAAGTGTGTGTTATTTTAGACTAAACAAGGAGATCAATTTGATCTCATCTATTTCTTTGGCTTCAGCATGTTTAAAGATGTAAGGATTGAGTGGTCAGTATTTTCACTGCCCCTGACCAAAATTAAAGTAAGGGCGTATTAAGAAATCATGACGGGAGACCGAACTTGAAAATGTCGGTGTACATGTCACAGATTTGATAAAATATCTTCTGGATTCCTCGAGTTAATACGTGCATGTTGGGAGCTAGTGCGTTTTTTTTTTCGATATAAGATCGTACCTAACATCTGATGAGGCCGCTGAGTTAGACCTGGCCTCCTACTGTGGACATAGATTGTCATTCCAGTCTTTGACTGGACCTTGAAGATGACCATTAGACGGTACACGGGGGAGGGGGGGGGGCAGCGGTGGGTACACAAATTGCGATGTACAGATGCAGGTATAAAAATCAGAACTCTGGAAATGGGAAGTCAAGACCGAAGTCTTGATGTGTCCAACAAAAACGGTCTAGTCTGTACATAAGTTTGTAGTGGAAACTTGGAGAATTTCTACCTCAACCATAAAAAAACAACATATCAGGACCTTACTTATTTAAATACTAAAGAGGACATTGGGAATAAACTGGGCGGATATCATCTGCTATATAGAGCAATAAAAAGAGTTAAATATACAGGCCTATACAAGCACGCACACATACACACTTACACACACACATATATATATATATATATATATATATATATATATATATATATATATATATACATGTATGTATGTATGTATATATATATATATATATATATATATATATATATATATATATATATATATATATATATATATATATATATATATACTTTCAGAAAGGCCATGCAGAAGACCACGATTTCAAGGTCATCACGACAAGGGTTTCCAGGTTTGTTGACATTTTACTATGTATATCATTAGCATGTCATTAGCATATCATTAGCGTATCATTAGCATATCATTAGCCTATCATTAGCTATTATTAGCATATCATTAGCACATCATTAGCATATCATTAGCATATCACTAGCATATCATTAACATATCATAAGATGTTGGTTTTCTGGCTGAGTAATGTTTTTAGGGTATGTCTATGTCTAATGAAAAACATCGGCAGCCTTTTGATGAGATTTATCAATCTGATACTGATGGTTCGATTAGTTTGGTTTGCGGTTGGTGAATTCTTTTAGATCCGTGTGGTGGATCTTTGATGAATGTCTTTTCATCAGTGTGGTGGGTCTTTGATGAATGTCTTTACATCAGTGTGGTGGGTCTTTGATGAATGTCTTTAGATCCGTGTGGTGGGTCTTTGATGAATGTCTTTACATCAGTGTGGTGGGTCTTTGATGAATGTCTTTAGATCAGTGTGGTGGGTCTTTGATGAATGTCTTTAGACCTGTTTTATCAAACTGATACTTATGGTTCGATTAGTTTGGTTTGCGATTGGTGAATGTTTTTAGATCTGTGTGGTGGATCTTTGATGAATGTCTTTAGATCCGTGTGGTGGATCTTTGATGAATGTCTTTCGATCCGTGTGGTGGATCTTTGATGAATGTCTTTACATCAGTGTGGGAGATCTTTGATGAATGTCTTTAGATCCGTGTGGTGGATCTTTGATGAATGTCTTTAGATCCGTGTGGTGGATCTGTGATGAATGTCTTTAGATCCGTGTGGTGGATCTTTGATGAATGTCTTTAGATCCGTGTGGTGGATCTGTGATGAATGTCTTTAGATCCGTGTGGTGGATCTTTGATGAATGTCTTTAGATCCGTGTGGTGGATCTGTGATGAATGTCTTTAGATCCGTGTGGTGGATCTGTGATGAATGTCTTTAGATCCGTGTGGTGGATCTGTGATGAATGTCTTTAGATCAGTTTTATCAAACTGATACTTATGGTTCGATTAGTTTAGTTAATATTTGTGTGATGCTTTTAGATCAGTATGGTCGATTATCTGGTGAATGTCCTTAGATCATTGTGGTTGATCTTTGTAAATGTCCTTATATATATAAGGAATTTTTAGGCCGCTGTACCTATTGTTAATGAAATGGAGACCACCTTTCAAACAAAACAACTAAACAACATTATACAATTTTACCAGCAATATTTACAAACGTTAGCAGTAAAATAATTCCATTCCCCGTTACTGTTCAATCAATATTTTATTTACCTGAAGAGTACCACGCTACTACTGATAACATCTTAGGTTGGGTCGTCTGTACTTTTGTTGTCAAATTATTGTACCCCAATATCGACCCAATTCTAATGAATCATGGATTGTCAGATGAATTCATTTTCAATCACACAACATCAAAAATACAATTTTCTAGTTAAATAGTTGATCAATCCGTCATTTTAATTAATTTAAAGATAACATTTAATGTATTTAAAAAATGTTGATAGTTTGAGTACTATCGACAGCTTAATAGACAAAATGACTAAATGAGATAATTTCCCTTTTCTTGTTTTCCTACATGGGAGACGACTGCATTAGTAGGCAACTGCACATTACATTTCGTTTCTGATCGTCATTAAAAACACATATTCTAATCAAGTAGGGTGTTTGACCAATAATAAACTAGCAAAAAAAATAATATATAAGTTTATGTATTTTTTTATTTTTAAATCTTAAGAATTATTTTCTTTTATTTTAAAAAATACTAATTATAAACATTACAAAATCAATCAAAACATATGCTTATCAAAAAGGGTTTTCCATAGTTATTTGCTCAGTTCTTATGATGAAACGGGTTGTTTTAAAGCTATTGATCAAATAATCTTAAATAAATGAAAGTAGGCTATAAGTAAGAAAGAAATATTACTATTGTAACTCTGTATCAGTCCTCACAAGCCGGTGATGAAAACTGTAATACTAAAGCGAACACACAACTGACGCTGTAAATTACATGTCTGAGGCACACACAAAAAAAAAAGAAAAAAAAAAGAATAAAAAAAAAATTGATCAAATAATTTCAAAATGGGCGACTCAGAAAAAGCTAGTTTTTCTTTCAAGAAAATTACGAGAAAGCGGGTGGTTAGAAAGCAGCGAAATGACAGCAGCAGTAATCAGGATTCTGGAAAAAGTGAAAGTGATGATGGTAATGTGGCAGTCAGGCAAAAAATCTCTCAGAAGAAAATCAATCCTATGGTGCAGTCAACAAAAAGAATAAAGTTAGCCACACGTGCTCACTTGAGCTCCTCCAGTGATGCAGACAGTGACAGGGAAGATGTTAGCAAAGTTACAGTTTCTTACAAGTCATCTCGGACAGGGAAACGTGAGGGACCAGATGATATGGGAGCCACCTCTGTGGTGGAGGTTGATACACAGAATGACAGAGATGCTCAGGCTATACTGGAGCGCAGCTTGCTCATTCAAAAGGAGTTGAAAGAGAAGGAGGATGACAAAATCTACAGGGGAATCAACAACTACCACCAATATTATGAGAAAAAAGATTCCAGGGCAACGCAGAAAGTGGAAAAAGCAGATACGGTCCATTGCGTGCTCCTGCTCACCTGAGATCCACTGTCCGCTGGGATTATCAACCGGATATATGTAAAGATTATAAGGAAACAGGACTTTGTGGCTTTGGAGATTCGTGCAAGTTTCTCCATTACAGATCCGATTACAAGCATGGCTGGCAGCCAGAGAGAGAGATGGAGCAGGGAACTTATGGACAGAGAGATGAACAGAACTATGAGATCAGCAGTGATGAAGACGACTTCCCATTTAAATGTTTTATTTGTCGCAACTCGTTTAAAGACCCTGTTGTCACCAAGTGTAAACACTACTTCTGTGAAAAATGTGCCTTAGATTTGTACAAAAAGTCCAAGCGTTGTTTTGTATGTGGAGAACCAACTGGTGGAATTTACAACCCTGCCAAAGAACTGATTTCCAAGCTGGAGAAAATGAAACAAAAAGATGACATCCCAGACAACAACAGTGATGATGGTGCTGGCTAACATCATGATGTTACACATCACTCACACACACTCACAGATCCACTGTAAATTGTAAATAAACTCACTATTAAAATGAAAAAAAAAATTGTTCTGTACAGGAAAGCAATAAAAAAATATTAATTTTAATCTAGACAGTCTCAAGCCAAACATCACTCGATCAGCCCCCAAGTAAATTAACAGTCTTCTGTTTACCAGGTTTTTAAAAGTGCACAACCTGAATGGTAGAAAGAGATACACACCTCACCCCCCCTACACACACATACCTCCCCCCACTCAAACGGACTGGCGGATACTTCAAGGTAGCGTGCCCTCATCGCCAAGGGTCAACCTTATGTCATGGAAATTTTTGGAATGATAGATCAGTATGAGTATTACAGAGACACTTCTCCCACGGTCGCTTCTATTTCTGTCCATGGGTGGCTACAATGTGAACTTATGACTCCGCAGCTAAGGACGGAGCACAACAAACTAAGCAGTCAAGAGAAACTGAGTTTGCACACCTTATTTTAGTCTAGTTCTTATGCCATTTTATTTTCTCCCTTTGATTATTATATATGCAATTGATGTTCATGTCTTTGATGCTGTGTAAAACTATCAAATAAATTATTATTACTGGAAAAAAAATTGTTCTGTAACTTGGTTTTAGGCCTACACGTATTTTTATAATTTTTAATTTTTTTTTCAATTTGTACAGATCGAGATCGCCTATTGTGGTCGAGTGGGTAGAGCACGTACACCGAACCAGAAGGGCGACGTTCAATGACACAGCCAAGAACTGGCCCCACGATATTCCTTACGTCATCCACAAGGCGTACACAGGTGAGGACGCGCTATGTTTACAGGTAAACCACATAGACCATTTCCGATTAGCCGTACCACTATAATCAAATAACCTTTATCACCTGAAATACAGCTATACGTCTCATACTAGATGTCAGATCTTTCCTATCTGGGTATACTATCTAATAGTGTCCTTCATATAATTTTACCTGTCACAAGCTATAGAACAGGGGTCTCCAAACTACGGCCCGCGGGCCGAATGCGGCCCGCGATGTCCTTTCATCCGGCCCGCGGAGATCTTTTTGTCCACGGAAAAAACGTTTGTTGGTGATGGCTGAGGAACTTTGCCCAGAAAATCAGACATGCCTAGAAGAAACTGGCCCCGAACTGAAATTTAATAGTTAATGCGGCCCTCGGACTGAAAAGTTTGGAGACCCCTGCTATAGAAGGATGATTCGTACACAGACAGGTAAATACTTCTAAGGGTTTTTAATAAGGCAAATGTTCAATAAAGCGATAACGGATCACAAGAACTAGTTTGTTTACAGAGGAAGTTTACAGGTAAATACTTCTAAAGGTTTTTAATAAGGCACATGTTCAATGAAGCGATAACGGATCACAAGAACTAGTTTGTTTACAGAGGAAGTTTACAGGTAAATACTTCTAAAGGTTTTTAATAAGGCACATGTTCAATAAAGCGATAACGGATCACAATAATTAGTTTGTTTACAGAGGAAGTTTACATTGTAAAAAGGAATAGACTGATTCACCATACAACATATGGTGCTTTTTACTAACTCCATGTTTTTTCCGTACACATATGAATGTATGTTGTACTTTCGAGACCATATTGGTAATGATGTAGTGTAACGGAGCAGTGATATGAGCTTAATGGAACGGGTTGGTCTAGTAGGAGACCGCCTGTTTGCTGACCCTTAGGTAACGAGTTCAGAACCCCGGTCCTGAGATTATCAGTTATGCCTTGACCGTATTGGACTTCAAGTCCAAACTAGGTGCTGAGAAGCAAAATCTTGGAGGAAACCCAAGTTTCTAGCGAGATCACTCAACATTGGTTGGTATAGGGCTGGTAAGTAGGTCACCAACTAGCTATATAAAACCTGCATGAGCCATAGAACTGTTTATTGACCTACTTGTCAGCCTTATATCTTAAAAAGCCAGATGTAACACCTGTTTGTATATGGGGCAGCCATGTAAGCATCAAAAAGTTGTGAGATCAGATATCTCACAGTCTGTTCTCACTCTTTGATGTACAATAGATTCATGTAATACATGGGTGGTGTGTAGTGGCTAAATATATTGGTGGTGTGTAGTAGCTAAATATATTGGTGGTGTGTAGTGGCTAAATACTTTAGTGATGTGAAGTGGCTAAATGCTTTATTGGTGTGTAGTGGCTAAATACTTTAGTGGCATGTAGTGGCTAAATACTTTAGTGGCGTGTAGTGGCTAAATACTTTAGTGGCGTGTAGTGGCTAAATACTTTAGTGGTGTGAAGTGGCTAAATACTTTAGTGGCGTGTAGTGGCTAAATACTTTAGTGGCGTGTAGCGGCTAAATACTTTAGTGGCGTGTAGTGGCTAAATATATTAGTTGCGTGTAATGGCTAAATATATTGGTGGCGTGTAGTGGCTAAATATATTGGTGGGTAGTGGCTAAATATATTAGTTGCGTGTAGTGTCTAAATACTTTAGTGGGTAGTGGCTAAATATATTAGTGGGTAGTGGCTAAACATATTGGTTGGTAGTGGCTAAATATATTGGTGGTGCTTGACGGCTAAAAATATTGTTGGTATGTAAGGGCTAAATACATTGGTGGTGTGAAGTGTGTATATACATATGGTATTTATAATGGTTAAACACATCATCGATACGTAATGGCTTAATATAAAGATAATTATGTAAAGGCTGCAAACATAGATAATATATTATGGCTAAAAGAGAAATGTCTAAATAGCTAGTATACACTGGTAAAGTGCATGGGTGTTTTGCCCACGTCGGCCAAACGTTATTACTGATTGGTCTAAAGGCGTCACGAACGTTTTAACATTGGTAGAGGATTAGTCAAGGGGGTGAGTTAGTCAGGTGGTGAGTTAGTCAGGTGGTGAGTTAGTCAGGTGGTGCGTTAGTCAGGTTCTGAGTTAGTCAGGTGGTGAGTTAGTCAGTTGGTGAGTTAGTCAGGTGGTGAGTTAGTCAGGTGGTGAGTTAGTCAGGTGGTGAGTTAGTCAGGTGGTGAGTTAGTCAGGTGGTGAGTTAGTCGGGTGGTGAGTTAGTCAGGTGGTGAGTTAGTCAGGGGGTGAGTTAGTCAGTTGGTGAGTTAGTCAGGTGGTGAGTTAGTCAGATGGTGGATTAGTCAGGTGGTGAGTTAGTCAGGTGGTGGTTAGATCAGGTGATGTGTTAGTCAGGTGGTGAGTTAGTCAGGTGGTGAGTTAGTCAGGTGGTGAGTTAGTCAGGTGGTGAGTTAGTCAGGTGGTGAGTTAGTCAGGTGGTGAGTTAGTCAGGTGGTGAGTTAGTCAGGTGTTGAGTTAGTCAGGTGGTGAGTTAGTCAGGTGGTGAGTTAGTCAGGTGGTGAGTTAGTCAGGTGGTGAGTTAGTCAGGTGGTGAGTTAGTCAGGTGGTGAGTTAGTCAGGTGGTGAGTTAGTCAGGTGGTGAGTTAGTCAGGTGGTGAGTTAGTCAGGTGGTGAGTTAGTCAGGTGGTGAGTTAGTCAGGTGGTGAGTTAGTCAGGCGGTGAGTTAGTCAGATGGTGAGTTAGTCAGGTGGTGAGTTAGTCAGGTTGTGATTTAGTCAGATGGTGGATTAGTCAGGTGGTGAGTTAGTCAGGTGGTGGTTAGGTCAGGTGATGTGTTAGTCAGGTGGTGAGTTAGTCAGGTGGTGAGTTAGTCAGGTGGTGAGTTAGTCAGGTGGTGAGTTAGTCAGGTGGTGAGTTAGTCAGGTGGTGAGTTAGTCAGGTGGTGAGTTAGTCAGGTGGTGAGTTAGTCAGGTGGTGGGTTAGTCAGGTGGTGAGTTAGTCAGGTGGTGAGTTAGTCAGGTGGTGGGTTAGTCAGGTGGTGGGTTAGTGACGTGGTGAGTTAGTCAGGTGGTGGGTTAGTCAGGTGGTGAGTTAGTCAGGTGGTGAGTTAGTCAGGTGGTGGGTTAGTCAGGTGGTGGGTAAGTCAGGTGGTGGGTTAGTCAGGTTGTGATTTAATCAGATGGTGAGTAAGTCAGGTGGTGAGTTAGTCAGGTGGTGTGTTAGTCAGGTGGTAGGTGAGTCAGGTGGTGGGTTATTCAGGTGGTGGGTTAGTCAGGTGGTAGGTGAGTCAGGTGGTGGGTTATTCAGGTGGTGAGTTAGTCAGGTGGTGAGTTAGTCAGGTGGTGAGTTAGTCAGGTGGTGAGTTAGTCAGGTGGTGAGTTAGTCAGGTGGTGAGTTAGTCAGGTGGTGGGTTAGTCAGGTGGTGGGTTAGTCAGGTGGTGGGTTAGTCAGGTTGTGATTTAATCAGATGGTGAGTAAGTCAGGTGGTGAGTTAGTCAGGTGGTGTGTTAGTCAGGTGGTAGGTGAGTCAGGTGGTGGGTTATTCAGGTGGTGGGTTAGTCAGGTGGTAGGTGAGTCAGGTGGTGGGTTATTCAGGTGGTGAGTTAGTCAGGTGGTGAGTTAGTCAGGTGGTGAGTTAGTCAGGTGGTGAGTTAGTCAGGTGGTGGTTAGATCAGGTGATGTGTTAGTCAGGTGGTGAGTTAGTCAGGTGGTGAGTTAGTCAGGTGGTGAGTTAGTCAGGTGGTGAGTTAGTCAGGTGGTGAGTTAGTCAGGTGGTGAGTTAGTCAGGTGGTGAGTTAGTCAGGTGTTGAGTTAGTCAGGTGGTGAGTTAGTCAGGTGGTGAGTTAGTCAGGTGGTGAGTTAGTCAGGTGGTGAGTTAGTCAGGTTGTGATTTAATCAGATGGTGAGTAAGTCAGGTGGTGAGTTAGTCAGGTGGTGTGTTAGTCAGGTGGTAGGTGAGTCAGGTGGTGGGTTATTCAGGTGGTGGGTTAGTCAGGTGGTAGGTGAGTCAGGTGGTGGGTTATTCAGGTGGTGAGTTAGTCAGGTGGTGAGTTAGTCAGGTGGTGAGTTAGTCAGGTGGTGAGTTAGTCAGGTGGTGAGTTAGTCAGGTGGTGAGTTAGTCAGGTGGTGGGTTAGTCAGGTGGTGGGTTAGTCAGGTGGTGGGTTAGTCAGGTTGTGATTTAATCAGATGGTGAGTAAGTCAGGTGGTGAGTTAGTCAGGTGGTGTGTTAGTCAGGTGGTAGGTGAGTCAGGTGGTGGGTTATTCAGGTGGTGGGTTAGTCAGGTGGTAGGTGAGTCAGGTGGTGGGTTATTCAGGTGGTGAGTTAGTCAGGTGGTGAGTTAGTCAGGTGGTGAGTTAGTCAGGTGGTGAGTTAGTCAGGTGGTGAGTTAGTCAGGTGGTGAGTTAGTCAGGTGGTGGGTTATTCAGGTGGTGAGTTAGTCAGGTGGTGAATTAGTCAGGTGGTGAGTTAATCAGGTGGTGAGTTAATCAGTTGTTGAGTTAGTCAGATGGTGAGTTAGTCAGGTGGTGAGTTAATCAGGTGGTGAGTTAGTCACTCGTGGGGTAGGCTGTAGCCATCACTGCCTTTGCATCTCGATTTGACGAACTTACCTGTAAAATACAAGCCACCTTTATTTTTGTGTCAAGGTGACCGCGTGACCTTGAGACTTGTGATGGACTACATCTCTAGCCGCCTGTGTCTCACTTTCCATGACGTCACCAACACCTACGACCCCAATGACCGCACATGGTTCACCAGCCACGGGTTCAAAACCAACTCGTACATGCACTTCATACAAGGAGCTGGGTAAGCCTCATACGTCTTATTCTTGTTTAGTACTTAACTATTTTAGCACTGTCATATTGCCAGGTGTAAAGGCGAAAGTACAAATAGTTGTTTTTTTTTAAAATGGTTTTAGTTAGTTAATAACACACATTCATTATAAGCCAATATATTTATATATATATGTTATATATGTTATTATATATGCCAATATTTAGTTAGCATTTAACTTTCCGTAATAAATAAATGGATAAGTTAGTTAACATTATAATACCTCGTACTAAACATATACCAATAGTTATTTAACACACACAACGCTGTAATTAACGAGTTCGACAACTTAATTCATCTTATTATGGGAACCTGAAAAATCTTATTGAACACACGACTGAAATGAATTAACCCCTGACAAATCTTATTGAACACACGACTGGCATGAATAAAGACCTGACAAATCTTATTGAACACACGACTGACATGAATTAACCCCTGACAAATATTATTGAACACACGACTGACATGAATAAAGACCTGACAAATCTTATTGAACACACGACTGACATGAATTAACCCCTGACAAATATTATTGAACACACGACTGACATGAATTAACACCTGACAAATTTTACACGACTGACATGTATTAACACCTGACAAATATTGTTGAACACACGCCTGACTTAAATGAACACCTGACAAATCTCATTGAACACACGCCTGACTTAAATTAACACCTGACACTAACATTTTGATCTCAGTTGTTATTCAGGTTACGGTCAGGGCTATAGTCAGGGACCTCAAGATGTCAGCCCCTGTAGTGGTTTTGTAAGTTTCCTCGTTCATTGACGGGATTCTCTTTCTTAAACTAGTATATTGTGTTTGGTGTCGTTTTTGTTAGTTTGAATTACAGCTCAATTGTCAGCTGATGTAAGATGTCACAAAATTGCGAGGAAGGTTCTTCAAAGCAACTGTCATATTGGATGTTGAGTTAATAGGACATTTGTTATTTTTTACTTCAATTAGTTTTGTCCACTAATGTAAAATAAATTATAAGCCTACCATAACCGTCTAAAGATTCTTTGTATATATTAAGTCATCTCAGTATCTCCACATAGAAATTTCTTATATATATATATATATATATATATATATATATATATATATATATATATATATATATATATATATATATATATATATATATATATATGGTTCCATGACAAATGATCTCAGGACAAATGATCTCAGGACAAAATATCTCACGGACAAAAGATATGTATATGTATATATATATATATATATATATATATATATATATATATATATATATATATATATATATATATATATATATATATATATATATATATATATGTGTGTGTGTGTGTGTGTGTGTGTGTAATATGGTATAGTCTGTTTGTAGGGCATCAACCTCCACGAGATCCTTCACTCCCTCGGGGTCATCCACAGCCAAACTGCCCCCATCAGAGACCTCTACATGACCATACACGAGTCGGACATCCGGCAGAGTGAGTTGATGCTGTAGACGTAGACATTTTAAATGGTTTTATACACGTTATTCTTTTATAAGTACATAGACGGCAACAAAAAAAAAAAAAAAGATAAACGGTGGCCTGTTCGATAGAGGTCTAATTTTACAATAGTGTTTTAGAAAGCTAGAAAGTGCCGAAGATTTAAAATATTTTACATGGCCGTCACTATAGGGCTGGTAAGTAGGTCACCAACCAGTTCTATGGCTCATGCAGGTTTTATTGAGCCGTGGAACTGGTTGGTGACCTACTTACCAGCCCTATTGTGGCCACCAGCAGAAGCTTACAAAAGCGACTAACAGGATTTATCTCTCCCGTGTGTTACCCGGATACTTCTCCACAACACTAGGGTACAACTTTGTCAGCCCATTAAGCCCTTAGACATCATGTCGTAGGCCTACATACTTAAATAGGGAGCGGGGGGGGGGTGAACAGGCAGGGGGCAGGGCCCCCTAAACCATAGTAAAAAACCACCCTACCCCCTTTACCCACCCATCTCCCCACTTCCTCACCGACCAAGCACATCATGGATGACAAAAAAAAAACATTATTGCTTTGTCTGTTAGCTGTAGGCTGATTGGTTAATCGATTACCAGACTCTGTTCGTATTCTCTCTCAACAGGTTTTGTATACAACTATGCTAAAATTTCCGATCCAACCCTGGTGAACTCTTTTTTTGACCCGGACTCGATTATGATGTACCCTGACGAGGTAACGAGTACATAATTTTTATACCTTTATCATTATGTGACTGGTTTTCAATAAAAAATTACACATGTCTGTTATTGTAGTTTGTTGTTTTATAAAACTTGTCGGTCTTTTAAAATGTTTCAGTTTTTAAAAATGGATTAAAAATATTGTCTATGTCCCGAGTTGCCATCCTCCGTAGTGTTATATTAGAATATTCGAGAAAGTTTAGGGGAGATCAATCACGGTTTATTTGTGTCTGGGTTTTTACTTCCTATCAAAACTGTATATTAGAGAAGTTATTACTTTCTCGCTATAGTTTAAAGGTGTGTCTTATCTCCAGGCGTGGCATTTGATGGGCCTGGAGACATACATGCCAATTAGAGATGATTTCTTCAACTCAGCACCGCCGTTTTCAGCTGAAAATGTGGTTTTCTACGAACTGACCCTCATATACAGGTGTAACGGTGAGTCATATATACAGGTGTAACGGTGAGTCATATATACAGGTGTAACGGTGAGTCATATATACAGGTGTAACGGTTAGTCACATATACAGCTGTAATGGTGAGTCACATATACAGGTGTAATGGTATACATACAGGTGTAACGGTGAGTTACATATACAGGTGTAACGGTGAGTCACATATACAGGTGTAACGGTGAGTCACATATACAGGTGTAACGGTGAGTCACATATACAGGTGTAACGGTGAGTCACATACAGGTGTAACAGTGAGTTACATATACAGGTGTAATGGTGAGGTCATATATACAGGTGTAACGGTGAGTCACATATACAGGTGTAACGGTGAGTCACATATACAGGTGTAATGGTGAGTCACATATACAGGTGTAATTGTTAGTCACATATACAGGTGTAACGGTGAGTCACATACAGGTGTAATGGTTAGTCACACATACAGGTGTAACGGTGAATCACATATACAGGTGTAACGGTGAGTCACATATACAGGTGTAATGGTGAGTCACATATACAGGTGTAATTGTTAGTCACATATACAGGTGTAACGGTGAGTCACATATACAGGTGTAATGGTTAGTCACATATACAGGTGTAATGGTTAGTCACATATACAGGTGTAACGGTGAGTCACATATACAGGTGTAATTCTTAGTCACATATACAGGTGTAATGGTTAGTCACACATACAGATGTAACGGTGAGTCACATATACAGGTGTAAGAGTGTTTCACATATACAGGGCTGTGTAACAGTGATTCACACCTGCAAGTTTAACTATGATTGTTAAACCATTCCAAAAATTAAAAGTGTGGAATAAAGCGTTAAGTCGGTACACGAGAAGCAAAATCTCAGCACACGCTTTTAAATATTAGAATAAATATCAACGGCAAACTTTAACCCCAAACCAGAAATCAGCTCAATGACAGAATTTTAAAAAAAGAATTAACACGGTTACCCATGATGTCTAAGTTTGGTTGACATATCTATAGATTTTACACCCCCCTCCCCACAGAACTATTCTGCAACAACGACCAGACGGACTGTGGCCCAGGCTACCACACGTTGATCAATGGACGGTGTCGCTGTGTCTGTCCGGATGAGTTGGATTACAACACCAATTGTAGGACACACATTAATGGACGTGAGTTATAATACTGTTTAATGTTCAACTGGCAATAGAAATTACGGTTCTGTTAGATAGATGTTACTACTCGTTCAATAAACAATATATATATATATATATATATATATATATATATATATATATATATATATATATATATATATATATATATATATATACAGCATCAAAGAACGTCTCGTGGCCTGAAACTCAAATTGTCCTGTATGGAAGTGAGCGCTGCCCGACGGGATTCGATCCTACACCAGCCCGTCTGCCAGTGTCAGGACGGTGGGCACCGACCATAGATTCTGCGCCAGACAAATATTCTAAGAAGGACAGAACCATGACCTTCCTCATGTGTAAAAAATCGACCCCAGTAAACCCGGCAAATGTCAAGTGGAATACATGGCCCAGGGGAGGCGACTATTGTATTGTCAAACCTAAGGGACAAAAGTGTGGGGGAGGTAACATTTGCATGAAAAAAAATTATTGTGGGTTAAAAAAAAGGACTGCCTACGAAGTATTTTGCTACTTGTTATATTTTATTTCACATATTTCCCCCCAAACGTTCTCATATTTTCATGGGTATATATATATATATATATTCTTTACACGCAGTAGAGCAGTTAAATTTTTTTAAATGAAAAAAAATTAATATAATTTTTATAAAAAAACTACATTACAACAAACGTCTTAGTTCTTATACTCTGAATTATAAATCGAACATCATAAAACAGTGGTTTTTTTTAATTTTTTGTGGACGGTTATGAACAATTAATTTTTTTCTACGACATTCGTTAAGGACGGAGGGTTTGAATTTAAGCTGGTTCTCTCTTTGTGATGGATGTTGGATAAGCATGAACACCTCTTTCTTTCAGATTGTGAGAACCTAAGGCTTGAGTTAAAAATGTATATTTTAGGACGGTGGTTTAGAATTTAAATATTACTTTCTCGTATATACGAAGTATAGAGAAAGTCTTGTAATCGTGCAAAAAAAAAAATCGAGATTTTTACAAATCTCGACGTTTTACACCTCACTGATACGGAAAAACATAATTTTGCAATCTTGTCCGTATGTCTGTGTGTCTGTCTGTCTGTCTGTCTGTCCGTGTGTAAACACGATAACTTGAGTACCGTTACAGCTAGGTTGATGAAATTTCATATATAAGTATTTTATCAAAATCGTAGATCCGTATCAACTTTTGAGCGATTTCCGATAACTGGAAGTGGTACTTTTCCTACTTTGAATTTTTCAAAAGCCTATAACTTGAGTACTATTTCAGATAGATAAATGAAATTTCACATGTAAATAAAAGATCTAATTCTCTACCTTGTGTTAAATTTTCCGTTGACTGGAAGTAGTAATTTACGCTACTTCCGATTTCTCAAAAAACTAATGTAAATTTTAAAAGTACTAATAATATTGCGCACTATTATGCGCTTTTTTATTTGGCGTTCACTTGGTGTGCAATTAATTTGTCTACGAGATTTTATTCTATTTTTAAAACTTTAAGTATTTAAAATGGATTAAAAATCATGTCTATAGCCCGAGTTCCCATCCCCTGTTATTTTATATAAGAATATTCGAGAAAGTTTAGGGGAGATCACTCCCGGTTTATTTTTAATTTATTTTTTGAAGACAACGGTTTAGATTTTAATTATATTTTCTTTCAATTTTTGAAGACAGTTTTAGAGTTTCGTTATACTTTCTTTCAGTTTTTGAAAACTTTGGTTTAGAGTTTAATTATGTTTTTCTTTCAGTTTTTGAGGACGGTGGTCTAGAATTTAAGACCTTTGAAGAGAGCCACCCAATAGGAGACATCGGCAACATCACCATCAACGGCAACATCGTCAGGATCAACTACTGCTGTAGGGACAAGGAACATTACGGGCTAGTGGTCGAACTGCCCAACTCAGAGCCGTTCAAATTGGTGGCTAAATATCACAAGTGTCCGGTAGTTCAAGGTAGTTGATAAATATCATTAGTTCAAGGTAGTTGATAAATATCATTAGTGTCGTTTAGTTCTAGGTAGCTGATAAATATCATTAGCGTCACCTATTTCAAAGTAGATGATACAAATTATAAATTTTATAAAGTTCCAAATAGAAAATAGTATTCTGTAGTTCAAGGTATATCATAGTATTCGATAGTTCAAGATAGTTCCAAATAGAAAATGGTGTACTGTAGTTGAAAGTAGGTACTAGTTTCAGTAGGCAATTAGTAAGTATAACTAGACTACCCGTCATCCGTTGGATAACTGTGGGTTTCGGGGGTCATCCATCAAAAAACATCACGTCTGTCACTCAGAGGCGTTGCGACTTTTCCCGGCGCCCGGGGACAAACTTTTCGATTTGAGCCCCCCCCCCCGCAAGATTTCGATTTGCACCCCCCCCCCCCTCAAACTTTCGATTAGCACCCCCCTCAACCTTTCAATTTATTTTTCCAACCCATTTTGGCGCCTCCTAAGGTCGGCGCCCGGGGACATATGCCCCCCCCCCCCCCCCCTCGCTACGCTACTGCAGTGTCACTTATCGTCACAAAAAAACAGACCCCACATTCAAAAATATGTTTTTTTTTCTTTTAAAAACACCGAAAACACCGATTTCGGACTACCCCTTCATATACTGACGTCACAGGTGACCTACTCAACTCTACTTCACCTGCCCAGTGTCCCGCCAAGTCTTAGACAACATGTTTTTATTGTTTAAAAAACGATTCCAGCCGAGCATGTCTCTGACCACACTATCCCTTCATATGCTTAGGACAAAGAAACAGATGAACTCTACTTCACCTGCCCTGTATCCTACCAAGTTCAGATAGGCAACTTTATCATTCATATCTAAAAAATAAAATAAAAATTTAAAAAAAAAATTATCATTGACCTATTGGTCTAGAACCTGTGCCACACGCATGTGAGCTGATTACACTATCATCTTAGATATTTACTCGTGACGTCACAGATGAATTTTTATACTATACATTGATACTTTGAGTCTCCTTATGCAACTTGATTTACGCGCATAGATCTAGATCTAAGTTTAGTAGTAGTAACTTTCAAATTAAATTTTATCTTAAATTAGCCAAACAAAGATTTATATAAAATAAAGAAGGTCTGAAATTATCTAGATCTAGATAGAATTATCTATATTTTAGCTCTACGACTGAGTTATATTTAGAATTTACGTTTATAATTTAGCAAAATTACCGGTATCGAAGCCGCGTATGAATCTTAAGCTACGCAAATAGGCCCTGGATCCAGCATTTCAGAATTTGCATAGTCGAAACAAAGATTTATACAAAATAATAAAGGTCTAAAATATTTTAGTATATAGAAACTCATTATTATCTAAATCTAGATAGATTTATCTATATTCTAGATCTACGACTGGTTTGCTTAAGTCTCGTTTTTTTTTTGGATTGTATTTAGATCTATAACTAATAAATCTTTGATTTGACCTAGATTCCTGATCTAGATCTATAAATAACTTTCTTGGACAGATTGTAGATCTAGAGAAATTTATCGTAAAACTAAATGAAAAAGACAGTTGAAAATTGATATAAGTGTTGGAACGTAATAAATACAGCAAACGGACGTATTGTTAAAGTTAAAGCCGACAGAAAATTAGCTTTAGAACGCGTTAAACATTGTAATGGGAACACAATCTTCTTCGATAGGCCGCCATTATTGATGTAAAAAATAAACACATCATGTGACGTCACTGTTTCCGTCGAGTCTAGTGGTTTTTTAATCTTTTAAAAAAATGTGGTTAATCTACCCATGAAAAAATCAATAAATTAATTAACGTCTTAAAATAAATTGGTGATTAACAGCTGTCACAATACTCGATCAGACAAACAAACAAATAAATATTCAAACATGTAAACAAACTTGAGTTGTAGTAGTATACTAGACTACCCGTTATCTAGTTAGATAACTGTGTTTTTCGGGGGGGGGGGGGGGTTCATCCATAAATGATATCACGTCTGTCACTCAGAGACGTAGCGACCCTTTTCTGCGCCCGTGGACAAACTTTTCGATTTGAACCCCCCGGCAAGATTTTGATATGCACCCCCCTCAAACTTTCGATGTGCACCAACCCCCCCCCCCCCTTCAAGATTTCGATTTGCACCCCCCTCAAACTTTCGATTTTCACCCCCCTCAACCTTTCAATTTATTTTTCCAACCCATTTTGGTGCCCCCTAAGGTCGGTGCCCGGGGACATATGTCCCCACCGCTCCCACCCTCGTCGCTACGCTACTGCAGTGTCACTTATCGTCACAAAAAAAAAACAGACCCCACATTCAAAAATATGTTGTTTTTTTTAAAAACACCGAAAACAACGATTTCGGACTATCCCTTCATATACTGACGTCACAGGTGACTTACTCAACCCTACTTCACCTGCCCACTGTCCCACCAAGTCTCAGACAACATGTTTTTATCGTTTAAAAAAACGATTCCAGCCGAGCATGTCTCTGACCACACTATCCCTTCATATGCTTAGGACAAACAAACAGGTGCACTCTGCTTCACCTGCCCTGTGCCCCGCTTGGTCCTGATAGTCAACCTTATCATTCACATGTAGGCCTTAGGAAAAATAATTGAAAACATTGTTGTGAAAAGAAAATATATCTTTTTACTATTACTAAAGTCATTGTTCTAAACTGTTATATAAATTGTGGTTAATCTACCCATGAATATATCAATAAACGGCTTTAAATTAGTTTGTAATTAACAGTGTGTTTAAGAAGGAACAATATCTACCACTCAAAATACCTTTTTGCAGCTCTACACATAATGAAGATTCTCCACAATAACAAATCAGAAAAAAAAAATAAACAAAAAAATGAGTTATCAAACATCACTATTCAGTCAAAGTTAAGCCATTGTTCTAAAACTTTAAAACAAATGTGGTTAATCTACCTATGAATAAATCAATAAATTAATTAACGTCTTTAAATAAACGTGTGATTAACAGTCTGTCTGCAATAAAAAAATTATTTTCTACCTACATACTTTTTTACAGCTCTCCAGATAGAGTAGAACAATTCACAATAATCGATCAGACAAACAAAAAAAAATATTCAAACATGTAAACAAAGTAGAGTTTTAGTAGTATTAGATAGATAAATGTCGTGGTAGAACATGAGTCTGACGAGTAGATTCGGAGGGTCAACCCTTGATGTGGAGGGTCAACCCTTGATGTGGTGGTCAACCCTTGATGTGGAGGGTCAACCATTGATGTGGAGGGTCAACCCTTGATGTGGAGGGTCAACCCTTGATGTGGAGGGTCAACCCTTGATGTGGAGGGTCAACCCTTGATGTGGAGGGTCAACCCTTGATGTGGAATGTCAACCCTTGATGTGGAGGGTCAACCCTTGATGTGGAGGGTCAACCCTTGATGTGGTGGTCACCCTTGATATGGAGGGTCAACCATTGATGTGGAGGGTCAACCCTTGATGTGGAGGGTCAACCCTTGATGTGGAGGGTCAACCCTTGATGTGGAGGGTCAACCCTTGATGTGGAGGGTCAACCCTTGATGTGGAGGGTCAACCCTTGATGTGGAGGGTCAACCCTTGATGTGGAGGGACAACCCTTGATGTGGAGGGTCAACCTTTGATGTGGAGGGTCAACCCTTGATGTGGAGGGTCAACCCTTGATGTGGAGGGTCAACCCTTGATGTGGAGGGACAACCCTTAATGTGGAGGGTCAACCCTTGATGTATAGGGTCACCTTGGGTTGAAATTGAACAATGTTGAGTATATATTATATTTTGCAGATAGGGATGGGTAGTTGTTTGCATACTTTCTTTAGGACATTTTTTACATTTTTACAAACAAAATATTGTTTGTTTAGTTTTCACTCGTTTTTATTTAACTTGCTTCCTCTGTGTGCCTGTCTATCTGTCTGTCGTCATAGACAAAACGTGCGACCGAAATTTCGGACACTTTTAACCGACCAATTTCTCTGAAATTCGGCACGTGTTTAAGACTTGAAGAAAATGCAGTATAGTATGACTTTACATTTGACTTAATTGGAGGCCTAATTTATGTTTTATGAATTAATTTAAATTTTCTGAAATTAGTAGGCTGTGCTACTAACCTTTCCGCACTATTATACGAGCAATATCATGTTCATTTGATGAGCAGTACTTTTTAATTATGCAACTATTGAAAATGTAAAGTACTGAAACATATTGCATAAAAACGTTTTAATAAGTAGCTTTAATAATGCACTAAAAAGAAGAAAGTAAATTATGTTCTTTAAATATAATTATAATAATACGCTACTATTTAAATTACTATATAGAAAATCGGGGGTCTCTTCTTAAAAAACGTACTTAACACTAGAGAGTTATGTTTACCAACCAATTTGAATTTGTGAACTGCTACCTCAAAATGTTGATTTTTGTTACTTAAGTAATTTTAGCACTAAATAATTATAATAATCTTTTTTAAAAAACATTAAAAATACATTAAATAATTCAAAGTCTTTAAAAATATATTATTAGTGCGTTATTATTGTATAGATTATTATAAATTTATTGGAATCTGCATTTGAAATTACTAAAATAGCACAATAAAAATACAAGTTTAAAAATTGTTTTATTTTCTAAATTAAAAAGTAAACTGCTTACAATTCAAGATAGTTCATGAGGTTTAAAAGTTTCTTGGTGATTCAATCATCTCTTCCCTCTGTCAGGTATGAAAAGCACATACTCCACGATTACAATTTGGACAGATCATTCGTTAGACTATGGTGCCAAACCACCCCTCAATTTTTTCTTCCAGACGGAGTTCCTGCTCCTACATTACCTGTGTCACTACCAGCCGCCTGTCTACGGTGAGGTTACGATATGTACATGTTAAAATATACGAAACTGTACACAGCATATATATGTCTGTTTTTTACCATACCATTTCTCCCATCTCAAGGCTGCAGCCAATTCGTCACTCTGAACAGGGCTAAACAGTCAGTGACCATCGCCACACCTGGGTTCGGTTCCAAGAGGGAGCCAGACAGGCGGTGTTTTTACAGTTTTACTGTAAGACTTTTTAAAACTTGAATTCGAAAAGAGACCGTCTAATTATGCTGACATTATAATATTTTAATTTTTTTACAAATATTTTCATAAAAGAGGGATTAAACATTGTTCTCTTATTTAAGGAGGTTTTGTTCAGCTGATCTGTACACATTCTTTGTTGAAAAGAAAAAAAAAAACAACCGTTAAATACTTATTGTATGCAGGTACCTGTTGGTTCCAGACTGAAGCTGACCTTGAACAAATTTGACCCACACGTCACCGACGAGTTTCTCATTAAACGTTACCACAAGTGGCAGGACCCTATCCTGTAAGTCTGTGACGTCATAGCAGGACCCTATCCTGTAAGTCTGTGTGACGTCATGGCAGGACCCTATCCTGTAAGTCTGTGTGACGTCATGGCAGGACCCTATCCTGTAAGTCTGTGTGACGTCATGGCAGGACCCTATCCTGTAAGTATGTGTGACGTCATGGCAGGACCCTATCCTGTAAGTCTGTGACGTCATGGTAGGACCCTATCCTGTAAGTCTGTGAAGTCATGGCAGGACCCTATCCTGTAAGTCTGTGACGTCATGGCAGGACCCTATCCTGTAAGTCTGTGTGACGTCAAGGCAGGACCCTATCCTGTAAGTATGTGTGACGTCATGGCAGGACCCTATCCTGTAAGTCTGTGACGTCATGGCAGGACCCTATCCTGTAAATCTGTGACGTCATGGCAGGACCCTATCCTGTAAGTCTGTTTGACGTCATGGTAGGGCCCTATCCTGTAAGTCTGTGTGGCGTCATGTTAACACCATGACCTTATTCTGCTCGACGTCCCGCTATTATGTTGACTAATTAGTCTGTTAGACATCACAGTCTAGTATACAACGTCATAGATCTACACTTGACCACAGTTACCCATGGCAACGCTATTTTCGTTGTAAGACTGTTAAATGTACGATTTGTTTCTCCAGCATCAACGGCGACTACCAACCCTATCAGTTGGTTAGTGAAGGAGACTACTTGTCTCTACAGTACTGGGCTTCATGGGAGAAAACCAACAACAGGGGAATTAAGTTCACTGTCGATGTTGTGCTCGGTAAAAATATTCTTAAACACTTTTATGGAGTATAAAAAAATATCATAAAAAAAAACGTTTTAATAACAAACTTTTAAACTTGTATGTAATCATGCACTAAAAAATAGAAAATACATTATACACTATCATTTAAATAGCTATAAATAAAAGCGTGGGTCCCTTCTTAAATAACAGTGTTGGGTGTCCACGCTTTTGTTTAAAGTTATTTAAATAGTAGTGTATAATTTATTTTCTACAATTAAGTACATTATTACATGAAAGCTTGTTTTTATTTAACTCATTGTCTCTTTTGTCAGTCTGTCGTCAGTTTGTCTAAAGCAAAACGCCCGAGCAAAAATTCGGGCACTTCTAACTGGCGTTTCTATCTAGAAAGACTGACGACAGACAGACTGAGACAATAAGATAAATAAAAGCTTGTAATTAGTATGATCTGGGGGATAGTTTGATCCACCCTCTCAGTCTTCCACATGACAGGAGAAATTTAACTTCATTAACATAGAGACAGACACACTTTACATGTTTTTCTAACTAACTTAAATATGCAACTAAATCTCCCGGATGTTAAAAAGTAAATGGAGTGGTCTATCCTGCTGAAATCTTTCAGTTTATTTTTTAAATAACTATTTCTATGTAGATGTGTACGATCTATCTTGTAAGTTTGGTTAGAGTGCATGTCTAAGTGTAAATATGTAAGGTCAAAGTGTGCGTAAGGGTTACATTCGGATAAATACATGGTCTGACATTATGAAATGTGGCACATGAAGTAGAGTTCATTTGTTTCTTGAGAAATTCATAACAGCACTATGTCCTGCCACCTTTACTTTTCCTAGCGTGATTCAGGTACCTAGCATAAATAGGCAGGTTAATAAACTGCTTACACGTTCATTATTTTTTCCTTATGCCAGCCGAGGAAATGTGTTACGATGTGGCGACAAAAGGGGCAGACTACTACGGTGAGAAATCTGTTACAGAAACTTTCGAGCCTTGCGTCCCTTGGGAGAAAGCCACATCTTGTGATGACTTCCCCTTTGATGGGTAAGATGGTGAATTACATCGCATGAATGGAGATATTATGTTTTGTTAAAAAGTGAAGTATTTAATTGCTTTTAGCTCTGCAAACAATTCCTTCGGCGTGAAGGCCATGAATAGCAAATATAGGATGCCCGAGTATTTTACTTTAAAATTCGAGTAATATTAGAGCATGGACTGCGTGGCCTAGTGGTTGAGAGAAATATTGACAACCCGGGTTTAAGTCAGTTGAAAGTCCCTGAGTTCACCCAGCTGTAATGGGTATCTAACTCCCGTTAGGGAAAACAAAGGCTATGGCGGTTATGCTAACCACAATAACCCTAGGTGTTTGAAACAGATGAGCTCTACTTTATCGGAATAGATGATGATGGATATTAGGGTAGAGTGATACACGGCTCTTTTCCTTTAAACTTCTACTATAATATTTAACCCATAGTGTAATATCCAGGGGTGAACTATTTACAAATGCTTCTTGTTTATCTATCACTACCTTTGTGGTTGTTGATTGTATTGTTTCTGTTCATGAATTGTAAAGACTGTACTTCTGTTACAGTTTCAAAGGAATTTCCTTGTTAGAAAGCGGAAGTAGCTGTAGAAATCCAGGCGGGTCTCTCCTTCAGCCTTGGTGTTATACTTTTGTCAGGGGCAGCGTTTGTCATAAACGTTATTGTGACGTCTGCAACTTAAGTAAATTTTATTCAACTCCCTTGGAAACGTTATTTAATTTGAATTACTAAAATCTTGTACACAAATTTATAAAGAATCTCTTAAGCTTTTGTACTTTAAGAATATCATTTATCAGTCCAAATAGTAAAGAAATGTATTATATATATATATATTGTGACCTACTTAGGTCGAGTCATTTTTATTTTGACATTGTATAATTCCTTATATGGAATGATGGTGTAACACCTGGGGTTTTTCCATTGACTATTAAGGTGTTTGAGACATAGAAATTTTCCATTAAAATCTGATTGAATGATTCTGATCAGATGATTATCCCAACCAATGGCGACATGAGTTGAGGATAACCTCCCCTGTCACAGAAGTCTTTAATTGCACTGCACACGCGCAACACGAGGCAGTTTATCTTGACCTGGCAGTCTACGAGGTAGTTTTACCTTGATCAGGCAGCCGTCCATATTGTCCGGCTATAGACTCTGACCATTTGAACGTGAGAGTACTTAAGACCTGTGTGTGCCTTGCTTTCTTCAGTTGATTTAGTCTTCTAGTTTAATATTACTTGTCGCTAAGTAATTCTAGAAACTACAGCAGTGTTGTGTGGCCTGTAGCTGTTCTTTAGACAGTGTAGAAATCTGTGATAGTGTTTTTTCCTACATTGTGTAAGTTGGGTTTTGATATTTTATACATTAAATATTTTATTTAGTTCAACCTTGTGTTCTGCCACTTCTGAGTTCGCTGATTAAAAGGTCGTATGTAGATTGGATGAGTGTTAATTACAATAGTATCACTAGCTTCCCTAGACATTAAATTCGAGCCCTAGTGGGTCGTTGTGTTAAGTGTTCATCCACTTAGGCCGTAAGGTATTTGCATATGACCCCAAAAAAAGAATCCGGGGACGTTCTCCTTCTATTTGGCTGATAGATAGGTTAACGTTACAAAGTGGGGGCTCGTCCGGGATTTAATCTGTCGTTCCAGTTGTTGGTTATATCAGTTGAATACTAAGGTTAGTTGGATTTAGTTGTTTTTATATCCAGTAGCGCAGTGTTCTTACAACGCGCGCTCAGGCTAGAGTATCTAGGTCAAATAAGCAGACGTGTCACGTCCTACATTTAGAGGTCAAGGACACGGCCCAACACGGTGTGTTAATTTAAAGGATCTAGGCTTGTTGTGATTTTCAAGTTAGTGTTATGGAGTCTTTTTTGGCTAATCCTACCTTTGAAGGTGTAGAAAAGTTGAGTAGAAAAGTTTTGATTAGTGTTGTTAAGGAATTGAAATTGGATTATTCTGTTACGCAGAAGTCAGAGGTGTTGAGAGATAAAGTTGTTGTTCATTTCATTAATGAAGGAGTATTTGATGAAAGTTTGTTGGCTGGTGTGTTGCTCCGCGAGGAGAAAACTCTAGAGAAGGTAGAATTAGAAGCTAGAATTGCTTTAGAGAAGGAGAAAGTTACTCTAGAGAAGGAGAAAGTTGCTTTAGAGAAACAGGAGTTAGAGGCTAAAATTGCTTTAGATAAGAGGAGGTTGGAATTAGAGTTTGGTCAAGTTAGTGATGTCACTTCTCTGGTAGATCCAAAAAAGTTGTCGGTAGGACAAGTGATTGCCAAATTTGGGAAATTAGTTCCTAAATTTGATGAAACAGATTTGGTCGTTTTCTTTAACTCGTTTGAGAGTTTAGCGAAGACTTGTGAATGGCCCGAAACCTCCATTACTGCTTTATTGAGTTCTGTCCTTACTGGGAAAGCTGCAAAAACATACCAGGCACTCTCTCACGACGTTCAAAATAACTATAGTTTGGTCAAGACTGCCATTTTAAAGGCCTACGCACTGACGCCCGAGGCCTATCGGACAAAATTCCGAACACTCCGCAAGTTACCCACACAATCATATGTGGAATTTCTCTTTGAAAAGGAGAAAATATTCTCAAGGTGGCTACACTCTGAAGAAGTTTCTGAGTTTGAGAAACTCAGGTCACTTATCCTAAGGGAAGAATTCCTATCGTCCCTGCCTGAAGAGATACGACTACACATACTGGATAACAAGATAACTGACATCCAGAAGGCTGCTGAGTCGGCTGACACATATATGTTGGTGCATAAGAAACCACCAGTGTCAGGAAACCGCCTCAACCCCGTGCTTCCCCTTTTTGGCAGCAATCATCCTGTTGGCCAACATTTGAAGGCATCACAGTCCAGAGAGAAACCAAGATCAACTCTCAATCGTCGAGCAGTACGCCAGTTCTGCAAAAGGCCTGGTCATCTTGTCAAGGACTGTTACAAACGTCGTCAATATAACAGAGAGGTGGTGCGTACTTACGCGCACTATGCTCTATCCCCTCAAGCAGCCAGTTCAACTATGAACTCTAGAATTCAAAAGGACTCTAACCCTAAGTGTCCGCAAGAAGGTAGTCAAGTCTCCACGCATTATGTGCAGTCACATTTTGACTGTTCTCGCCACCATCCAGTTTCTTCCGAGTCTACCGATCTCGAGAGATCGAGAAAAGTTGACTTTTCATCTTTTATTGCCGAAGCCATCATTAGCAAACCAGGTGATCCGTTGTCTCAGAAGAATATCACCGTTCTAAGAGACACAGGAGCGTCACAATCACTCCTTTTGAAAAGTTCAATGGACATTACACCAGAGACGAACACCGGAAGGATTTCCATTATCCAGGGAGTGGAGACAAAATCTACTGTCGTCCCTCTACACAAGTTTGCCCTGAAACATCATCTCGTCGAAGGTGAGGTCATTTTAGGTGTGATAGATAGTATTCCTGTCCCAGGAGTACACCTACTTCTAGGGAATGACCTTGCGGGAAGCAAAGTATACCCCTGTACGGTTTCAGACCCTTTGTCAACAGTTCCAGATAATGATTATGAACTGTATCCTGCATGTGCGGTGACAAGAAGCCAGACCAAACAATTGGCTGACACAACGTCTGAACCACACCCGCCATCATCGTCAAGAAATTCGACTCCCAAACTGGAGTCTATGCTTCCAGAGAACACAAGTCTGGGCTTACCCCTGAGAATATCTCAGGAAGACATCATTAAAGCTCAACAAGTCGACGCGGAACTCAAAGCAACGGTCGAAAAATCTCTATCATCTGACGATGGAGAATATTTCTCCGAGAACGGCCTCTTCTTTCGTCGCGCTATACCAGTGATTGCCTCACCAGCCGAACCATGGTTGGGTAAAAACCAGCTGTGGGTTCCTCCACCTTATCGGCATGAAATACTTAAACTAGCACATGACCATCCAATGTCAGCGCACCCAGGTGTCACTAAAACGACGGCGAAGATCAAAGAACTGTTCTTTTGGCCCAAAATGAGAAAAGATGTGTCGCGTTACTGTAGAAGTTGCACGAACTGTCAGTTGGCCGGAAAGCCAAACCAGACAATTCCTAAGGCCCCTTTGAGTCCGATTCCTGTATTAGAAGAACCTTTTTCTAAAATCGTCATGGACTGTGTAGGTCCCTTGCCTAAAACCAAGGCGGGCAACGAGTACCTACTTACCTTTATGTGTTCAAGTACCCGTTTTCCCGAGGCGATTCCCTTACGGAACATTAAGGCAAAGACTGTAGTCAGAGCCATGACCCGGTTCTTCACTACCTTTGGATTACCTAGAATCGTGCAAACAGATCAAGGCAGCAACTTCACCAGTCACCATTTTCAGGAAGCGCTAGCCAAGCTAGGCGTTACCCACACCACCAGCTCAGCCTACCACCCTCAGTCTCAAGGCGTACTTGAGAGGTTCCACCAAACCCTCAAAACCATGCTAAGGACATTCGCTAACAGTAACACCCAATGGGATGAGTCTGTTCCTTGGATTATTTTCGCCGCGAGGGACTGTGTCCAGGACTCTTTAGGCTACTCGCCTTTTCAACTTGTGTTTGGACATTCTGTCCGTGGCCCCCTGAAGCTGATACACGAACGTTGGACAGGTACCAGTGATCATCCAGTGGAAAACTTCGACGATTTTCACGTTCGACTGAAAGCCGTGTGCGAAATGGCTCACAAGAACTTAAGAAAGGCCCAAGTTAGAATGAAAGAACTGTATGATAAGAGTTCTTGTAAACGAACAATCAATCCAGGCGACAAAGTTCTTGTGCTAGTACCTAATCTGAACAATGCGTTATCCTTGAGATATTGTGGACCCTTTACTGTGCATTTAAAATTAAGTGATTTGAACTATGTTGTCAATACGCCCGACAGAAGAAAGAAACAGACAGTGTATCATGTCAACTCACTGAAAAAGTATTATGATAATTGTAACAATTTTCAATCCACAGCTAAAATTACTTTACCTGTATGTTCAAATGTTTCTGATGATGTGATACATGATAAATTGAAACCCCCAAAATTGGTAAATTCTTCCTTTTTAGATAATTTGAATGTCCACCTTATGCACTTGTCCACAGAGAAAAACCAGAGATTGTCTCAGTTATTTGAGACATTTCCCTCTATTTTTGGGGATGTCCCCAAAGAAGCGAAAGTACCACCTCATGATGTAGACGTTGGTGACGCAAAACCCATTAAACAACACCCCTATAGAGTTAACCCGGAAAAAGCTGCTTTGATAAAAGATGAAATTGATTATATGCTCAAGAATGATATCATTGAGCCCAGTTTCAGCAACTGGAGTTCCCCATGTCTCCTAGTACCGAAAGACGGTGGATCTTTCAGGTTTGTGACCGACTTTAGGAAGGTGAATGCGCTCACCAAAGCTGATTCCTATCCCTTGCCTCGGATAGAAGACGTTATTGATAAAGTTGGTCAAGCTAAGATAATTTCCAAAATTGATTTACTTTCAGGATACTGGCAAATCCCCTTATCTGACCGTGCAAAAGAAATATCTGCTTTTGTAACCCCTAATGGTTTTTATAGATACAAACGCATGCCCTTTGGTATGCGAAATGCTGGTCAAACTTTCCAGAGAGTCATTAACTCTGTCATTGCTGACATAGACCAATGTGAGGCCTACATAGATGATATAGTTGTATTTTCTAATACTTTTGAAGAACATATTGTTCAATTGACTAACCTTTTTAGAAAATTGTCTGAAGTTAATTTTACTGTAAACTTACATAAAAGTGATTTCTGTAAAGCTTCAATTACCTATTTGGGTTATCAAGTGGGAACGAACCAAGTTCGGCCCATTGAAGCTAAAGTAGATGCTATTGTAAGGTTACCACCTCCCAAAAATTGTAAAGAGATCAAAAAGTTCCTTGGGATGGCTGGTTACTATAGGCGGTTCTGTCAAAACTTTTCAGCTATTGCTGAACCTCTTACTGCATTGTTGAAAAAGGGTGTTGAATTTGAATGGTCCAATAAATGTCAAGAAGCTTTTTTAACCATTAAGTCATTTTTATCAAATGCTCCTGTTATGGCTGCACCAAATTTTAGCAAGCCCTTTAAACTTGCCATTGATGCTAGCAACTTAGCCATTGGCTCAGTCCTATTTCAAGAAGACAACATGGGAATTGACCATCCCATTGCCTTTTTTTTCCAGGAAGTTAAATGAGAACCAAAAGAATTATTCTACTATTGAAAAAGAAGCTTTAGCTTTGGTTTTGTCATTACAACATTTTGAAGTCTATGTCTCTTCTTCAACCAATCCAGTCAGAGTGTTTTCTGACCATGATCCCCTGAAATTTACCTCTAAGTTAGGACAGACAAATCAAAGAATATTGAGATGGTGCTTATATTTCCAAAATTTTAATCTGGAAATTTCACACATTAAGGGTAGTAATAATGTTGTGGCTGATTGTTTGTCAAGGATGTAAAATCTTGTTGTACATATTGATCATGTGACATGCTTTGTGGTTCATTAGGACCATAAACAGGTTTTGTTTGAGTGTCACTCATATGAAAATGAGTGGTGTGAGTTTTGAATTTTTTTCAAAATTCCAATCCTGTTGAATATTTTGTTTGTTTTCAGGTGAACCTTAATTAAAGGTGGTTTTTGATTATATGTAATCTTTTATAATAAAATGTCTCATATGACTCAATTGATATTGTAGCTAGTCATTGAAATAAAGGTCTTACCCTGGCGGGTTTACCACTTTTAATATCCACATGGAAATATTGTAATACCCTTTTCTGAGGGATTTTGATGTATAATTACTTTTTGAAGGGTTACTCCCCTTTCACCAATTGTAAAAGTTGGAGTTACTTCCCTTTTATGTTCAGGGATATTTTCATCTGGTATTATGATTTTGATTGCCTACATTTGTAAAACATTTTTGTTATTTCATTGCCAGATTGGTTCCTTATGTATGTTTTTGTGGAACCTATCTGTCACTTCCAAAAAGGGAGGGGATGTGACCTACTTAGGTCGAGTCATTTTTATTTTGACATTGTATAATTCCTTATATGGAATGATGGTGTAACACCTGGGGTTTTTCCATTGACTATTAAGGTGTTTGAGACATAGAAATTTTCCATTAAAATCTGATTGAATGATTCTGATCAGATGATTATCCCAACCAATGGCGACATGAGTTGAGGATAACCTCCCCTGTCACAGAAGTCTTTAATTGCACTGCACACGCGCAACACGAGGCAGTTTATCTTGACCTGGCAGTCTACGAGGTAGTTTTACCTTGATCAGGCAGCCGTCCATATTGTCCGGCTATAGACTCTGACCATTTGAACGTGAGAGTACTTAAGACCTGTGTGTGCCTTGCTTTCTTCAGTTGATTTAGTCTTCTAGTTTAATATTACTTGTCGCTAAGTAATTCTAGAAACTACAGCAGTGTTGTGTGGCCTGTAGCTGTTCTTTAGACAGTGTAGAAATCTGTGATAGTGTTTTTTCCTACATTGTGTAAGTTGGGTTTTGATATTTTATACATTAAATATTTTATTTAGTTCAACCTTGTGTTCTGCCACTTCTGAGTTCGCTGATTAAAAGGTCGTATGTAGATTGGATGAGTGTTAATTACAATAGTATCACTAGCTTCCCTAGACATTAAATTCGAGCCCTAGTGGGTCGTTGTGTTAAGTGTTCATCCACTTAGGCCGTAAGGTATTTGCATATGACCCCAAAAAAAGAATCCGGGGACGTTCTCCTTCTATTTGGCTGATAGATAGGTTAACGTTACAATATATATATATATATATATATATATATATATATATATATATATATATATATATATATATAATTTATTTATTCTTGGTACTCAGAGGCCCCAGTAGATATACTGAGCACATGTTCTTCACTGAAACAGAATGTCCCAGAATTTTGCAGAAGCGCCATTGAACGCCATGGATGTTTCGCCACGTGCAAATTTCCTATACATAATTATAAACCAGGTAAGTAACCGATAATAACGGGTTCAGTTGAACACAGGAGACAGCAGTCGATTAAATGGGTGAGAGGAGGGGATTATGCGCCTGAATAGATTATGCGCCTGAATTACAGTTGCGTAAGCTGTTAACGGCCGTGGGTTTTTCAGCTTTTCCCCATATATATATATATATATATATATATATATATATATATATATATATATATATATATATATATATATATATATATATATATATATATATATAATCAAACTTTACTGATTATGTACTTTCTTTTAAACATATGCTGTGTTCAGTCTCTTGTGAACAACGATTCTGATAATCTCCGTTATATTTCTACGATTTTGAGTTCAACATTAAAAGCTTATTCAGATAATCAGTTAAGTTTGATTGCGCAAGTTATTGTTTGTGATATAGTTGGCATGTATCAAATAAATAATCTAGATATTCCAGCAATTTGGTTTGATTTCTAAGTCATTGTTTGTAGTCTTCTACGCGAGTATCAGCCCCGTCTATTAATATGTCTGATTCAATCTCATTTTGTGGACTAACTAAGAAGTCCAGTCCTGATGTAATGTCTGGGTGATGGATTAAAATTTTTGGGGTTGACACACACACACATCATTACATTGTATTTGTTGATAAAAAAACAATAACCTGTTCTTACCTACATAAGATGTGTATTTACTAAACACTATTGAAATCACTGCCGTCGTATTTCCATTCAAAGAGATTTATCAGCATTTGTTTGATTGTAGAGTCTAGCTGTGTTGCAGGATGATCAAATCGTCTGATATGTTGAAAAATTTTCCCTAACAAATCAGCCAAATGCAGCCCACCCAGCCTACCATCTGATGTGTACGCCGCTGGAGGATTGAAGAGTGTGTACAAGGAAGGGGAGGTCATCAACGTCACTTGTACAACTTCCGGTTCTTTAGTAAACGTAATCAGATGTACCAAAACTGGATGGTCGGGCCAAGCTCTTGCTTGTAAAGGTTTGATTTTGTTTCTGTTTCACTAAAATATTAGGCTTGGGTCTATGCAAAAATGTTTCAAATAAATTCATAGAAAAAAATTCAATGTAAAAGACATGATTTCTAACGAATTAAACAGTAACTGGTCTAGACTGGAATGGCAATTATAATACCTTCGCATTAGCTTATGAATTAATAAACTAAAAATTAATACATAGATACTTTTGTATTCTGCCAGTACTGGGTTTTATTCTACGTAGACTATCCCTTGTTTTTTTTTACTGAAGTCTAAAAGCTACACTTAAACTCTAATGAGAGCAAAGTCAGTAAATGTCAGCCTAACCATCAGTAGTGCATGCGACCTCTTCTTCTGAAGGGATAGTGTGGTCAGTTACATGCACCACTGCCGTAATCTCTGATCAACCTTACAAAGGATCCTATCATGACCTCCAACGTATTCGTAACTTATTCAGATTCAAAACTCTAAAACTACTAAAGCTTTTAAAGTAATTTTCATTCGTGACACCTTAGTAGTTACGTTTAACAACTTTGTATAGATTACCGTTTTTAATTATCATTTTTTTGACCACGTTTTACCAAACACGGAGAGCAAAACACGTTCAAAATCTAGCCAAGCCATGGCACGTCTTATCTTGTTTTTGTTTCAGCCACTGGCTCCTGTAAGGATAAATACCAAAACTGTGAAAATATTCTGGCCAAATTCCCGGAGTTCTGCTCAGACAAAAGATCGAATAACTCGGCCTTGACCTACTGCAAGAGGTCATGTGGAGGGTGTCCAGGTAGGAAGGTCAGGTCTTGTAATAAAGGCTGACCTGTCTTACTGATGGTTTTGATGTTACCTTCGTAGCGTTACCAAGGATGGGCTTTAAGTTTGTTTTTTTTAATTTTATTTTCATCAGGGTTTTAACCGTTTTTTTTAAATGCTATTCATTGGTACCTCAAACATTGTTTTCATTATCTTTTCCTTAAACAATACAATAATCCTTGTTACAAAACCCTAACTTAGCGCCCCACGCCTTGCTCCTGTTACAGAAGCTACTCGATGCTCTGATCCTGTAGGGCTAACTTACATCAGAACATCTCGATCAGCTGTTATCTCACCTGGTCAGGTCATGAACTTCACCTGTAACTATAATTTGTATCACGTGGATGGTGACTTACACAGGGCGTGTTCCACTTCCGGTGCCCTGCTGGGAACTGAACCATATTGTCAAAGTACGTATTATCTACAATATAACTTTCTCGTATACAGGGTAGGCCTATAGAGGAAGTATCGTAATCGTGCACAAAAATCACATGAAATTTTGACAGTTTTCACCGTTGTACTTCTCAGTACTTCATCATATACGGAGTATAGAAAACTTATTTTAATCGGGCAAAAATTCTAAATCCTGATTTATCAAAATTTTGGCGTTTTACGCGTAATCAAGTCGGAAAAACTGGACTTTGCAAATCTTTCCGCGCGCGTGTGTTTGTGTGTGTGTATCTATGTATGTGTGTCTGTAAACACGATAACTTGAGTATCGTTACAGCTAGGTTAATGAAATTTCACATTTAAGTAGTATATCTAACATTTAGTTATGTGTCAACTTTTCAGATATTACTGATAACCGGAAATGGGACTTATTCTACTTTTTGTTTTTTAAAAGCCTATAACTATAGTACTGTTTCAGTTAGATAAACGAAATTTCACACATAAATGAAAGATCTAGTTTTCTGCCGTCTATCAAATTTTGAGTAAGTTCCGTTGACCGGAAGTAGTACTTTCCGATTTTAAAAAAAAAACGAAAAGGATTCATAAAGTACTAGATATAATAATATTCTGAACTATTATACACATTTTGTTTGCCGTTCACTTGGTGCGTAATTTTTATTTCCACGAGATTGTATTCTATTTTTTAAAAGTTTAAGTAAGTAAACATGGATTAAAAATCATGCCTGAATTTCGAGTTGACATCGCCCGTTGTGTTATATAAGTATATTGAGAAAGTTTAGGGGAGATCACTCTCGCCTTTTAATAAATCGTTGGAAGTTTCCAGTTAAACACCACACATCTCTCTGTACAGGTACACCATTACCTGTTGACATCCACCTGGAGAAGATCAGAAACCGCAGGGAGACTTTACCTGAGAAACTGGCTTTTCTCATGGACATCGACGATTACATGTGGGAAGCGTTCATAGTTTCTTCTTCTTTCTAATTGTCGTATTGTAAATAATTCCATCATAACATATTTAAGTATTACGTGTCGACTTGTGGTACGCAATGTAGGCCGTTGACTTCATTTTTCAACCTGTTTTCTTTCTGGATTTGAATCATTTTGAAGACAATATTAAATATCAGATTCCTGGATTAACGCTTATATTATTTAAATAGCAATAACCACCAATCTTCGTTGTAATCATGCTTTGAATCACCCATCAATAAACAACAACAAAAAAACCCAACATTTTCCTCCCTTTACTGTTAATTCCATGAATTAAGTAAGTAAAGTAAAGTTTCCCTCTCCCTGACGGTCTATGGGGCAAGTGAAGTAGAGTTTACTTGTTTCTGTGACCTCGGCATATGAAGAGATAGTGTGATCAGCACTATGCCCAGCCGTCTTTACTTTCCCAATAACGTAAGTTAGGTACCCATCAGAGTTGGGTGGACTCAGGGACGGTTTACTGACTTGAAACCGGATTTGAACTCGAGACTGACTGGTTAGTATTCCAGCTCTCTACCGCTAGACCACTCCGTCCCACAATTCCATGAATTAATCAAGGTTATCTTGCAACAGAATCCCGTTCAACGGCATCATAACCAGATGGTACTACTACTGCGAGAAGAAAGGAACCCTGAACTTTATTGTCTTCAGACCATCGGGGTAAGACATTTTTAAGCTACATTTGTGTATTTTACAATCACATTTGAGTAAGTCATATTGGAGCTAAGACCGTGTATATTTGCAATCTCAGCTGACCGTAGAGTGAGGCATCTGGGCGGTTTCATAAGTTAAGCTCTCTATATTTCATTCCAAGATCACCTTACTAAGAGTGTGTAAAGATGTAGGTTATAGATAAATTATAGAGCCGGTAAACTTAAAATGAGTTTACCCATATAACAGCTGGATTCAGCTTTTGTGCATGCTTTGAAGTAGTTCTAGATTATTTTAAAATCTGTATGTACCTATAACAAAATATAACTTAGTAAGTGTTAAGAACATGACAAATAAAATGAATTTAATTATAGCTATACTAAAACCTGTCAAATAAAAGACATAAGAATAAAAAACGTTTAATTCTTGAAATCCATAATTGTAACTACTAAGGAAACAAATATCTTTACAAATACATTTGTTTTAATAAAAAAATAACGGTATCAAATATTTTAACCAGATGTAGTTGATCTAATAGGGCTGGTAAGTAGGTCACCAATCTGTGCTACGGCTCAATATAGCCTGCATGAGCCATAGAACTGTTTATTGACCTACTTGGTCAAGAGTTTTATTTTTTCGTTAAGGTGTGACAGCCCTAATTGTCTTCATGTGCGGAAGGGTAAAGGGAAACTACTTTGTTCTAACACATGAAATAATTTTATCATCCCCCCCTATCTTTCTTTTACGATTTAGGGTTCGTTCTGTGTTAGGTAGTTCTTCTGTTTTTCCTCTTTACTAAAGCCATCTACGGCTTAAGCCAATTATTTTACATGTATAGTTAAAAACTAAATGTTGACTTTCGTTGATAAGTCTAAATTGTTATGGTGGGGATGTACTAATGTAACCAATAGTCAATTATCTCTGACAATCATTAACTATCTATTTTGTGCGTATTATTCTATTTAAAATAATTTCACTTTTGATAACTGTTTTGGTGCATGCACTTCATAATAAAAATACATGAATAGTGAACCTGTACGTAGTTCTCTTTGGGAAGAGATCAACGCTTAACGTTTGATCTATTAACAGTATAACATTAAGGCCGATGCTAGCCGGAATAAGATACGCATGCGATACGCATGTGTTTACAACCGCAGATCCCTAACACCAACCCTAATCCTAACCCTATCCCTAATCCTATCCCTAACCCTAACCCTAACCCTAACCCTAATCATATCCCTAACTCTAGCCCTAATCCTAACCCTAATCCTATCCCTAACCCTATCCATAACCCCAATCCTACCCCTACCCCTAACCCTAATTCTAACCCTAACCCTAGCCATAGGTCATTGCGCATGCGCAGAGCTATCTTTTGCCGACTAAGTGGAGACGTTGGGGAGAAAAATCTTCTTCCGAGTAGTCACTTCGTAACATTAACTATTTGACCTACGTCTTATAGGTCAGACTACATCCATCTAGGTACCAACAGTGTCGAGTGTGAGCCCAAGTGGCTCAGGACGTTTAACGTTCCTAGTGCAAGTCAGGTCCGGGTCAAACAGGTGAGTCAGTGCTTAAAGGTTATGCGGTGGAAAGGTTGCTGCACAATCTAACACAAGCCACGCAAACCACACAATCTAACACAAGTTACACAAACCACACAATCTTTACACAAGCTACACAACATTTACAAAAGCCACACAATTTCTACACAAACCACACAAGCACCCCACCGTGTCCCCAAAAGCCCCACAATCTCCACACAATCTCTACACAATCGCCATACCTTATCCACACAATCTCCACACCATTTTCAAATATCGAAACTTATCCGCAAAATTATTTACCAGTATATATACTACACCGCAAGTATTTATTAACAAATGCAACTCTAATCTAGATGTAATACAACAAACAATAAACTAAATTCTCACATATATTCCTCTTTTGGCCTGAATGTACCTACAGCTGTCATACGTACGTATATATATATATATATATATATATATATATATATATATATATATATATATATATATATATATATATATATATATATATATATATATATATAAAATAAAAAGATAATATAGGGAAATACGACTGATCAGTTTTGATCCACTTCCCGATTTTTCCCTAACATGGCGAGTTTTTTGTGACACCCCAAGGCGTTCTCCTACTACCTCACAAAATTTCAAGGGGGGTCGTCGTCGGAAATTTTTTTTCGTGATAGAGCTCATATAAAGAGAATTTCACTCGTGGTCACTTTTTAGCCCTCGTCGAGGGCTTTGAGTAAAACCGACAGTTTTCCGTAAATGGCACTCCATTTACCTAAGAGCTTGCAAAAAATTAGCCTGATGTAAAGTGGGGAAGTGCCCTAAAATCCGTTTTGAAATCACCCTCTGTTTTTCCCATAAAACACAAAGATTATAAACGGAAATACGACTGGTCAGTTTTGACCCATTTACCGAATTTTCCCGGACATGGCGAGTTTTTTGTGACACCCCAAGGCGTTCTCCTACCACCTCACAAAAATTCAAGGGGAGTCGTCGTAGGAAATTTTTTTTTGTAATAGATCTCATATAAAGAGAATTTCACTCGCGGTCACTTTTTTAGCCCTCGTCGAGGACTTTGAGTGAAACCGACAGTTTTCCCTAAAGTTCAAGCCATTTACCTAAGAGCGTGCAAAACATTAGCCAGATGTACAGACGGTAAGTGCCCTAAAATCCGTTTTGAAATCACCCTTTTTTTCCCAAAAAATACAAAGATTATATAGGGAAATACTACTGGTCAGTTTTGACCCTTTTCGAAGTTTTCCCAGATATGCCGAGTTTTTTGTGACACCCCAAGGCGTTCTCCTACCACCTCAGAAAATATCAAGGGGGGTCGTAGGAAGAAATTTTTTTTCGTAATATAGCCCATATAAGGCGCCGGTCAGTCGAGGTCAGTTTTGACCCCTCTCCTTGTACTTTTCGGCAAACCTTCACCGGCCCTCGTGTTCTATCGCCCCAAGGCACCATCGTGCCAAATTTGACGCGCCTGCGGCGCCGGGAAGTGCCCTATCGGGCACTTGATCACTTTGCTTTATATAGATAGATGTGTGGTATACACTCTAAAACCAAGTGTGTAATGTACACTCTATAAACATATGTATTATATACACTCTATAAACTTATGTGTAATGTACACTCTATAAACTTTCGTTTAATGTAAACTCTATAACAATGTGTGTGATGTACACCTTATAACCATGTGTGATGTACACGCTATAACCATATGTGTAATGTACAATGTATAACCATGTGTTTGATGTACACTCTATAAACTTATGTGTAATGTACACTCATTAAAGGTATGTGTAACTTAAACTCTATACAACATCAAAGGAAGTCTTTATCAGTGCTAGTTATCCTTGTGTAAAACAGATCTAATTGGCTTATAATGAATCAGTGAGGTATGCAGCATACATCTGGAGCAATAGAATATGGAACAATAGTTACCTTTGATGAGTCGCGACAAAAGGATCAATGTTTACAAACCGTGAAATGAATGGCACCTGACACGAACCATAACTGAATCCAAATCAAGTCATATGTACACTCTATACCATTATGTGTGGTATACACTCTATTGCCATGAGTGATGTGCACTCTATAACCATATGTGTTATGTACACTCTATAAACTTAAGTGTAATGTACACTTTTTAAACGTACGTGTAATGTACAATGTATAACCATGTGTTTGATGTATAATCTATAAACATGTGTGTTATGTACACTCTATAAGCTTGTGTAATGTACACTCTTTAAACTTCCGTTTAATGTGCACTCTTTAATAATGTGTGTTATGAACACTCTATAAACATTTGTGTAATGTACACACTTTAAACGTATGAGTAACGTACAATCCATAACCATGGTATAACGACACTCTATAACCTTATGTGTGATGTACACTCTATAAACTTATGTGTAATATACACTGTACAACCATGTGTGTGATGTTCATTCTATAACATGTTTGTTGTACACTCTATGAGTATATAAGTGATGTACACTATATAATCTTATGTGCTAAATGCACAGTTTTTGTGTCTTGTGTACACATGCTTGTATGTGGGGTGTGTATTAGTGTTATGTACACCTGCTTGTGATGTATTGTGTAAATGTGTTGTGCGCCAAATTGTAAGTATCGTATGTATGTCTGTTTTTCACTTTTTCTGAGTGTGAAGTAAGAAAATTATTGAACTATTATAAAGAGATGTACACTCTATACAACATCAAAGGAAGTCTTTATCAGTGCTAGTTATCCTTGTGTAAAACAGATCTAATTGGCTTATAATGAATCAGTGAGGTATGCAGCATACATCTGGAGCAATAGAATATGGAACAATAGTTACCTTTGATGAGTCGCGACAAAAGGATCAATGTTTACAAACCGTGAAATGAATGGCACCTGACACGAACCATAACTGAATCCAAATCAAGTCATAAAGAATGTACACTCTATACCATTATGTGTGGTATACACTCTATTACCAAGTGTGTAATGTACAACGTATAACCATGTGTTTTATGTACACTCTATACATATTTGTGTTATGTACAATATATAAACTTACTAGGCATACTACCTAGCTTCGCTTAGGTTTTTTAAAACATTTGAGAATTTGAATATTTAATTATTTAGCGATGGATGAGGTGTGAAGTGCTTAAATTTAAACAGTAATGCAAACTTTAGGGAAAATGTTGTTTGTTGTTTTAATTACGTTCTCAGAGAAATTATTGGAAAGTACGCAATGTATAACTAAAATGGAATTAGAACTACACAGGTTCCATGATATATATATATATATATATATATATATATATATATATATATATATATATATATATATATATATATATATATATCATATAAGGAGAATTTCACTCACGGTCATCTTTTAGCCCTGGTCGAGGGCTTTGAGTCTGACCAACAGTTTTTCCAAACGGCCTAGTCATCTATAGTAGTGTATGCAAAAACTTATCATGATGTACAGACGTTAAGTAACCTAAAAATTGTGTTGAAATTTCCCTGTTTTCCCCATAAAATACAAAGATTATATAGGGAAATACGACTGGTCAGTATTGACCCATTTACCGACTTTTCCCGGACATGCCGAGTTTTTTGTGACACCCCAAGGCGTTCTCCTACTACCTCACAAAATTTCAAGGGGGGTCGTCGGAGGAATTTTTTTTTCGTAATATAACCCATATAAGGCGACGGTCAGTCGAGGTCAGTTTTGACCCCCTCACCGTAGACTTTTTGCCGAACCGTCACCATCCCTCGTGTTCTTTCGCCCCCAGGCACCATCGTGCCAAAGTTGACGCGCCTGCGGCACCGGAAAGTGCCCTTTCGGGCACCTGACCACTTTGCTTTATATATATAGATTATTTACTTAAACAATCCATAGCTCTAACCCTAACCTCTAAACCTAATCCCAAACCGAACCCGAAACCTAACCGTAACCAAAAACCTAACCTTAACACTTATCCTTTGTCCTAGCCCCTAACCCTAGGTAAAATATAATGCGTTACCATACACTACTCTGTCCCGCACCCCTTGTCCTGTCCCATATTCTTGTGGGGGTGGGGGTGGGGGTGGGGGTGGCGTCGTTAGGGCTTTAATTTATCCTCCACAACGCGTCCATGCATGATGAGTTTACTACTGACATTCCAGTCAGAGTTTCTTCCAGGCATCCCGAACGATATGAAATTTATATAATTTATATAAAAAACCTATACTTTTAACAGTGTCCCCCCCCCCCCGAAGAAAGTCAACGGCCCACCCCCCAAAATTTCAAGTGCCCCCCCCCCCCCATGAGAAACAAGTCTGGAAGAAACACTGATTCCGGTAGATTCCGTAATGTCATTCATTCACCTTTCATTAAATCTCCTTTGTCTTCATCCTGCCGGCTCTACGCTAGGGGAGATAATGCAGTGAGACAAGGCGCCCTAAAATAAAGTTGTCTTCCTTGTTTTTGTCTTACCATTACCGTCTTTTTTTTGTCTACACACGTACCCACTTCTTCTCATCCCCACCAGAATGACGTGGTTGGCGCCTACTCCCTCAACCCCGACACACTCAGCGTCAGCAACTGTTACTCAGCAGAGGTCAAGGTCATGTCGATTCCCGCCGAGATCGTGGAGTCACTTCCTGTGCTGAAGTTGAAAACAAAGTTCAAGAACAAGCAGTGCCTGGTGCCCTCCATGGGGTTCAGAGTGGAGCCATACTAGAGTCGTTTGGCTGTCAATAAAAAAAAATATGTTGCTTTTTTTTGTCTTTGAATTTTAATTTTGTAGACGACATGTTGTTTATGTATAACGTGTTTTTTAAATCAGACACTCCAGCTACACAGCGACACACGTTTCTCCGATCCCCCCCCCCCCCCCCCTGAAAAAAGTACCGACCCCACCCCCCTGCCCTAAACGAAAATAGAAAATATATAGGAAATATAGTTTACCAGTAACTGCCCTTCCTCACGAAAACTTCAAGTGCCCCCTCCTACTAAGGAGAAAAAAGTCAGATAAAAAAAAACACTGGTTGAAAACACATGGATTAAGTAAAACAGTAAATTAAGTACTTGTAATGTCTGTTACGTTGTTGTAACGGACACCTATCTACCAGCCAGATAGATGGTGAACGCTCCCGGATTCTTTCTTGGGGTTATATGCAAATGACCTAAAGCCTAAATGAATGAAAACTAACTCAACAACTCACTAGGGCTCGATTTCGAGGTCTAGGGAAAACTAGTGAAACTATTGAAGTTAACAACTCATTCAATCTGCAAACAACCTTTAATAAGTGAACACAGTTGTGGCAGAACACTAGGTTAAACAAGATAAAATATTTAGTTTAGAAATAACAAAACCCAACTTACAAAGCGTAAGAATAAATACTATCACAGATTCTAACACTTTATAAAAATAGCCACAGGTCACATAACACTGCTATAGCATCAAGAATCACTTGGCCACAAGTAATATAATACTAGAATACTTAAACAACTTAATAATATATAGCACACTCAGGACATAAGCTCTCTCACGTTCAAAATGGTCAAAATGGACTGCCTTCACAATCAACTGGCCAAAATGGACTGCCTTGTCAAAATGGACTGCCCCGAGATACCTGTGGGCGATCTATTTATAGACTTAGGTAACATGGAAGGTCACCTTCAGATCGTAAGACCATTGGTTGAGGTGGTCATCTGGTCTGAAACAATCAATCATCTCTCGATGGAAAATTACTGAGTCTAAGACTCTCTTAGTAAGACAGCGGAAAAAAACCGGTTGTTGCACCATCAACCATATATGGTATTATAACAAAAGTCAAACTAAAAATAAAACATTACTAGACCTAAGTAGGTCACATTGTTCTATCGCTGTTTTCTATTGATTTAATTTTTAGCAAAACAGAGTTGTTGACAAATGTAACATATCCATAGTGTTCAAAGCCTTTGTTCAGTTTGCTGCCATCGCATTTTATTTTCTCTCTGTAGATTTAGCCCCATTTTTATAGGACGATATAAATGGCCCTTTGTGGGAGAAATACAACGGGCGCTCACTATGTTGATAGTGTTGCCTTTTTCTCTAAACTCTAAACCAAAACCAAAACCAAAATTAACACCACAACTTCAAATTTTACCGAAAACGAAAAATCTTATTGAAAATGGATTTTTATACTTTTATATTTTTTTAATCGACATTTTAACGGGATTTAACCTTGATCTACACGTAGTTATTGCACATTGATACTAAATATAGTCGTAGTCATAGCGCTAAACATCGCACCTAAGCTCAAACATGACAAAGTCGCATTTAGATTTTATTTCAGTCGACTCTACGGAAATGTGGTGGGGGGGGGGGCAGTTAGATAAAATGGGGTTTGGGGAGCGGAGCCCCACCCAGACCCACCCACCCCGAAGAAGGCCTTCCGTCCCCATTAACAAAATATTATTTTATAGGAAAGATACTTTTCCCAGTGTCCAACCCCTCCCCAGAAAATTTAGTCAATCCGCCTCCGAAAATTTCAAGTAACTTCCACCCCTTCTTCTCCTGTGAGGAAAAAGTCTGATTGCATTTGTAGGTCATACATACAAAAGGTAGACCCTTCAACCATGCAGATCGTGTTTCTTTCAATCGTTTCATCACCGGGGAAGGGGGGGGGGGCACTATACTTTTTTTTTGGGGGGGGGGGTGGTATATGGGGGTCTGACACTAAAAGTATATATTTTCGTTATAAATTATAATATAAATTATATTTCCATCGAAGAATGGGGATGGGGGAGGGGGGGTGGTAGATGTTCTTCGGCGGGGTGTGGGGTGGGGGGGGGGATATGTGCTCATACCCAACGAGATGCCCTGATAGAAACTGCACGCCTACCCCTCATTAAAATAAATGGAATAATTTCAACGTTTTCCTGGGGTTTTGTTATCGATCAGATTAAGCGACATGCTTGTGGTACGAATTACACACGACACGGAGCGCACACCTCTACCCTAATCCATCTCTACACAGTGAGTTCCAACTCTTGCGATACTTTTAGTTTTTAAACAATGTTTTTCGAATAAATGCCACCTTCCATAAATACATTCAAGGAAATGATCACCACCCCCTCCCCGCTCCCCCACTGGCTAGCCTTTGTGTTGTGTACAGTAGAAGCAGTTTAAAACTGCTCATAAAATACATGTTGCAGGTATACGCGGTACATACTGTTTTTTATCAATGTTACACAATTAAATGGCATACACACTTCAATCAAATACCACACACGCTTTGTACCGTGCGCAATTTGAGCATGCACCGTACACATATTGGAAGTATGCTGTACACAATGTGAGCTTAATCGCCCCGGGCTCCGTATTTCCATTCTCTTGGCATAACAATGTATTTTTACAAGCGTTTATTTAACTCACTTCCACTGTCGTCAGTCGGTCGTCAGTCTGTCTGTCTGTCTAGATCGAAACGCCCGTGTGAAATTGCAGGCACTTCTAACTGACAGATACGATTCGTAGTTGGTACGTGGGTCAAGACATGAAGACAATGCATCGTGACGTTCAATTTGACTTAATTGGTCGCCAAATTAATTTTTTATGAATTAATTAAAATTTGGACTGAATTAGAAGGCAGTTCTGTCCAAATGCGTCATCACGGCCGTCTTGGGCGTGGAGCGAGGGGGGGGGGCTACACGACAAAAGCGCGTCATTACGTTCAATAAGCGCGCAATGGTTTTTAGTCGGGTCAGCAGTCTAGTTCTTTACAAGTAGACCACGCCATCCCATAATACTTTATCCAACCTCGTCATAAGGGTCCTCTTGGGCATGGAGCCAGGAGGGCTCTACGATAAAACAGGGCAGAGAAAGGCAATAAAACGTGTCATCACGGCAAAAGCGCGTCCTCACGTTCAATAGGCGCGCAATGGTTTTTAGTAATGTAACTCTATTATAAGTAAAACATGTTAAGTACTGACAAAAAATTCATTAAAAAGTTTTAATAACAAGCTTTTATTTAATAATGCACTAAAAAGTAGAAAATAAATTATACACTGCTATTTAAATAACTATAAAGAAAAGCGTGGGTCTCTTCCTAAATATTAGACACTACTATTTAAATCACTATAAAGAAAAGCGTGGGTCTCTTCCTAAATATTAGTAAAGGCATCCAATAGATACTAAAGTGAGCAATATATATATATATATATATATATATATATATATATATATATATATATATATATATATATATATATGCTATTTCACATATTTAGACAGCATTGTCAATTATGATAACAACTGCACTACTGACAATAAAACACGCATATCTAAGGCCAAGCTAGTTATCCCCCCCCCCCTCCCCCCCAAAAAAAAATTAACCCGGCTATCGAAGAAAAAAAAAACGATTGCAGATTTTTTCATAAATAATGTTCTAACAGCTCTTTTGCATATCGATAAATACTGGAAAGCAACCATCTCTTCCGTCAACACAGTAAGTACCAATGAATGATAAATGACATTCACTGGCCCTGCAAAATCTTCAATAGCTCAAGAGAAACTAGGGGACTTAGAAACTGAATTAACTGAAGAAAGATGGCGCTGGATGTGCCATGTACTAAAGATGAGACCAGACGAAGTTACAGCAATGGCGCTCTTTTGTCCATATCAAAGAGGACTGAGAAGGCTAAGAGAGACTTAGATACACACTGCAGAAAACTATTGACAGAAGCAGAGAAAGTTCCACGAGACTGGCTATCTCTAGCGGCTCCAATTAACCTGGGTATCGACGGTAATAGATGATGAATTTAAACAATTTTCTACACTATTCTGATAAATATCATGCAAAATATATATTTTAAATATTTTTAAACATGTTTTTCGATAAACCACAAACACAAGTTGCATTTTGATGTTTTAATTGAAAACAACAAACAACTCGATTCTTTTTCAAAACCCATTGAAATTACTGATTAAAGAGAAAATAGAGATCCGAATACTAACAATATAAAATATTGATTTTAAAATTTTTAGACAATTGAAAACTGTTTGATTTCATCTCCTAAATTTTATTTCTGTCTCAGTTTAGCACAAACTACGAACAATGAGATTTTTTTTTGTTCTAACATTGTATTATTACAAGCCAGGGGCGTAGCGAGGGGGGGGGGGGGGGGGGGGCGGGGGGGTGCGGAACGCACCGGGTGACACCATTTAGGGGGGTGACACCAAGGCAAAAAATAGCAAAATATATAGAGAAAAACTCGAGGGGGGGTGCAAATCGAAAGTTTGAGGGGGGGGGGGGGGTGCAAATCGAAAGTTTGAGGGGGGGGGGGGGGTGCAAATCGAAAACTCGAGGGGGGGTGCAAATCGAAAGTTTGTCCCTGGGAAGGGTCTCTATGCCTCTGGGGGGGTGACACCATTAAGTGCCGCACCGGATGACACCCGACCTCGCTACGCCACTGTTACAAGCATTTATTTAACTTGCTTACTCGGTCTGTATGGGTCAAAACGGGCTAGCCATTCGGGACGGTTATTCGCTAAGCCACTCATTTACTTATCATTTGGATCCGCCTATTCTTGTCAAGCTTACATACAAATGTACCAATGGTAGTACGACACGTATCATTTAACAACCGGTTAGACCTTTGTAATACTTGCTCATTTCGACATTTTCTCGCTTTGGAATTTTAATTAATTACCCAGTAGTTTAATTAAATGTGTGGATTAATTGTAGAATGTTCTAA